CCCCCCCCCCCCCCCCCATCACCTTTCTAATGGTCCGTCCCTAAGCATATAGATTTACCCTTTATATACCAATAAAAACCCGGTCCTATAAGCTGTCAAATGACACCATTCTTGCATCAGTGCGATTGAAATGGTCGACATCGTTTCCCGCCTTTTGGAATCGAGTGCAACATTATTGTCTGAGTATTGAAATTACGTTCACTTTCTCTTCAAAGGCCCATTTCCACTCAAGAAAAATTTTCGCGGAAAGAAAAATTTAAAAAATGTGATTGGCCGACACAAATGTTCCGTCGAAAGAAATTTTGAAGTTGAAAATTTTCAACTTTTAACAATGATATTTTTGGAAAATGTTCTGTTCGTGGAAAATTTTCTTGAGTGGAAATGGGCCTTAAGAATATGAACAGACCCAAATGTATGCGTTATTTACGAAAGTAAAACGAACTTTGCAGAGAGCATGTGATGTTGAATGTTTGCCAGATAAGCAACCTCTACTTCAGCAAGTGTTTGAAAATTCGAGGAACATTTTTAAGGCCCATTTCCACTCAAGAAAAATTTCCACGGACAGAAAATTTTCCAAAAATATCATTGTTTAAAGTTGAAAATTTTCAACTTCAAAATTTTTTCCGACGGAAAATTTGTGTCGGCCAATCACATTTTACAAAATTTTCTTTAAGCGGAAAATTTTCTTGAGTGGAAATGTGCATTTATGCACAGAGCTGAAAAAATATGATTTCGACCATCAGCAGAAGAGGTTTAGCAAAGGACTTGCAAAATTTATGTCTGCATAAAAATAACTCCATGCACTTAAATTAAACCATGGAGAGCAGTGTGTATGAGACTTACTGTGTATGTTACTCATAACTGTTCCTGTCTATTCATCTTTATCCCTGTCTATTCATCTTTATCCCTGTCTGTCCTTCACGTCTCTTTCTTCTTTCCGCAATTATTCATTCATATATTTCATTTCTGACCTTTTTTCCTGTAGTTTTATGAGGCTGCTGCTTTAATCATACAAATAATACGAATGTAAGTGCTATGCTATGCTACTGCAATAACGTGTGGTATTTTCGTATCGTTTTAGCTGCTAGCGAAGGAGGAGCCAATGTTTTCAAAGTTAGCTATTTTAAGGGTAAGTGCATGTAATGAATTTATAGAATACAAGTTTGATAGCGAGAATGGTTGCGTTTCAACGACTTACAAACTAGGTGACACTGTGAAATAAACTTTTGGAATAAGTGCGGGGATCCAAGCTCAACTGATGCATGGAGACGGCGCAGTTTTTAAAGGGTTGACCATTCAGCCATCACTTCAAATCAAATTTATACATCAAAAACTGACTCGTCTCCAGTAGGGCATTCCCGTCGGACGTTGGGATCTATTGTTTTGTTAGGGCATTCCCATGGATCGTTGCGCGTATTTTTTTGAGAAACTATGGAAAAGTCAGTATCAGAAAATTTGAAACCATGAAAAATTCAGAACGCTGTTTTCAATGGGAGGGACTGACTGTTTCTGGGCGTGCGTATGTGCGCCACCCCCCCCCCCCTCCCCCGCAAGAATGTTTTGTGAAGAAAATACCACTCTCCTTCTTCGACTTGTTTTCTTTACCCCTGTTAAGCCGGTTTTCCACTAGGCGAAAGTTTGCGCGCGGAACGGAATTTTTCTTTGTGTTTTCTAATTAGTTCCACCCGAGAAATCACAAGACAAAGAAAAATTCCGCTTAGTGGAAAACCGGCGTTAGAGTGATCCGCTATCTTTATGACACGCTTTAAGAAGATGACGACTGATTGACAGAGTTTCCTACTTTCTCTCTTTCTTTATAGGAAGTGCTTACCTAGCTCAATCTCCACAGTTGTACAAACAAATCGCAATTTGTGGTGATTTTGAAAAAGTTTTCACCATCGGAGGAGGTAAGAGTCGTAGATATAGGCGTTATATAGTTGGGCACCATGAAATGAACTCGAAAATCTTTAATGCAACATCTGCGAATGTGGCTGTTTTAATATTTACCTTAATCCAATCTTGCTACGCAGTATTTGAAATTATATATAGAGGTCAGAATTAAAATAATCACCAATCTGGCGAAAATCAAAACTTAAGAAAATGCTATAGTTTTCATTTTTTTAAAAGTTAATGCTAATAATTCAATTCGAAAGTTACCAAGAATGCTTGTAATGATGAAATATAAAGTATATAAATATAGTAAACTTTCACAACTAATTTTTAAATGTTTGTACGTGTTTAATTTTCAGTTTTTAGAGCTGAGGATAGTAATACCCACAGACATCTAACAGAGTTTGTTGGTATGGATATTGAAATGGCATTTTATGAGCATTATCATGAGGTGAGGACACTCATTTCGGGTAAGGGTATGATAGAGAGCTGAAGCACAGAATAGCAACCGTGCAGAAAGCAGACTCGGCCAAAAAAGCGTAACCGCCACCACGGCACAGATGAGGTAAGTACAGATATGAATCTCACGTCAAATTGCTGATTGTTTTGTGTCACACGGAATTCTCACTTCCGTCGAGCGCTGGCAAGTGTCGTTCTGAAATTAAATAAGGAAAGAGATAGGAAAACGCCGTTCGAAAGACGAAAAATTTTTTTTTTTTAAAGTCTACGCTACCGACGGCTATTTTTGGAATTAATTCTTCAAGAGTAACGGTAAGCGATCACTTTTATTGATTTCTTTTTATTAAAAGTGTTAATATAACATTTTATTTAGCAAAAGTTTGTTTCTTTCCCTATCTACTTCTTATTAAAATCGTGAAATACACTTGCTGGGAATTTCAGATGCTCATGTATAAATAACAAAACAGCGAATGATATAAATGCCTCAAAACATAACTCTCGCATAAAAAAAAACATGAATACTTCTATAATATGTATAGTTTTATTCCTCTGCATTATCAAAATTTAATAAAATAGTGAATTAATACAATTTTAAAGTTTATTTAATCGGTGTGACATAATTTGCCGTGAGATTCATATCTGTACTTACCTCATCTGTGGCCACGGCATGATTCGTCATCAAAATGCACTCGCATGGCTTCCTAGCCCGTGCGCTTATGAGAGGCATTCATCCCCTGAACGTCCGCCATTTTGAATATTTTCAGAGTGCATTGTAATCTCTCATAAACGCACTGGCTAGGAAAATGACGATAGCATTGCAACGGTTACGCCAAAATCATGCATGTATTGTAGGCAAAACCAAGAAGTCGACCTTCTGTAAGATTTCTATTCTGTGGCTGAGGCAAGCGATGTTTTTGACTACACGAATGCCAACAGGAAGTCAATCGAGCCGTTACAAGAACGGCAGTCGTCGTAGTTTCACGTTCGTGGTTTCAAACAAGAACGAACAAAGCTTGATTGACTTCCGGCTGGCGTGTGTATTGTCAGTGTGTCAGCAACGTCCCTTGCTTAAAACGTCGCTTGCTGATGGCACCTTGACATGCATAATTTTGGATATCACAAATCAATAAATTGTTTGAAATTATCTTTTAGGCCGTCAGAGTAATTGGGGAGACGTTCATTGCAATTTTCAAAGGCCTACGTGATAAGTAAGTAGGAGACGAATGTTTCTTTTCCAAACCTGCCTAGTATATTGGTTCTAAATGTAATATATTGGTTCTGAAATGTAATATATTGGTTGTAAACTTGAGGACTAAATGAGATGTTTTTTTAGTTTCCAACAGGAAATTGAAACAATCAGAAAACAATATCCATCACAACCATTCAAATTCCTCGAGCCTGCGTAAGTTTTTTAAAAATTTATAGTGGTGGTTAAACTGGTGGAAGAGCGCAATGATGCCATATTCGGCATATTGTTTATTTTTTGTCCCTTCAAACAAGCGACTAGACCCAGTCCTCTGCTCGATTGGGAAATGGCTAATTCGTGATCCGCAAGGCGAAAATCGCGGACACCAAAATGTTAGGGAAAGGTGTACAGTGAGACGTCTGGTTTATGTCCTATTCTGTGTCCCCACCGACTGTGACGTACGCAAGCAACGTTTGACAACACGTACGCCAACTGGAAGTCAATCGAGCCGTTATAGATGACAAGTGATGGCGACAGCAGTTCTGCTGACGCCATTACTGATTACTATTACAGAGTTATAACTAGTGTACCCACTTTTTTGTGCGCGTGCTCGGCAAGTTGCTAGATGCATGCATCTAATTGGATGGCGGCTCGCTTTAAAACTTGCCGAGTACGCGCGCGCAGTTGATAATTTTTTGCCCGGTCGCCTGAAAAAAAGTGGGTACATGAAAACGTAAGCTTCCGCAGTGTTTACAACGGTCAGTTACACGGCAAAAAAAACGATCAGGTTGTTGCAATATTGATGAAAACAGGATTGAACAATGTTCCAGTTGTAGTGAAAACGCTGACTTTTTATCTGAAGCGTGGTATATCTAAATATGCTAAGATTTAAAAAAAATATTCACATAGCTGCCAAGGGTCGACTGGTCAACATGCTGTTCACAGTTGTCAACAATATTGAACAATATTGTTACACCCGATTCAGGCTCAACAATATTGTTCAACATTGTTGACAAGTGTGAACAACGTGGGCAGCAAAACATTGTTCAATCCTGTTGAGCAGCGGGCTCGGCGTTTTTTGCCGTGTACAGCTCTGTATGTATCTACTCTGTGCTATAACGCTCCGTACGTGTTGAGCTCTCCATTCTATTTTTAATTCACTGAAAGGTTTTGTTCCAACCTCTTGCAACCGCATACAGCCTGGAAAATTGTGCCTTTTGATCTTTTGTAGATTAATCATTGAGTTCAAGGAAGGTATTAAAATGCTGAGAGAAGCTGGTGTGGAAATAGGTGACGAAGAAGATTTAAGGTATGTAGCCCGAGTGTCAGGCCATATTTTCCTACCTTAAATGCGGATGGATGGAAGGGAGAAGAGGACCTGACGCAAATCCCTGTCTGACCGCAAGTAAAAAGCCCAAATCCGGTTTTTCATGCATCTGATTGGTCTATTGGTTTATTATATATAGCTCAGTTGGTTAGAGCGTTGCACCGGAATCGCAGGGTCGCAGGCTCGATTCCTGCCAGAGGGCTTATAGTTGCATTTTTTCAACTGCTCCTGGTTAGGTCTGAATAAATGTATAAAATTTACACTTAAATGTTCACTGTGTCGTTTCAGTACACCCAACGAAAAACTCCTTGGACGACTTGTGCGTGAAAAGTACGACACAGACTATTATATTCTGGACAAGTATCCGTTGGCTGTTCGTCCATTTTACACCATGCCTGATCCTCACAGTAAGGTAAGAACGTGTCTTTTTTTATCCCTTAAAAACCTTTAGCCTTGAACTAGTGAGGGAGCTGCCAAAATTTAGACGAATTTATACAATTGGGGATTTTCGGTTACTGCGATTCATCAGTTCTTTAATACGTTGTCCATGTGGTGTTTACGGCTACAAAGCATCTTTTTTGACGACACGTACAAAATCTCTATTAAGCATAAAGCAAGCCCTCTTAAGTAGTCCCTTCTCCTCTCTAATAAACATTCCCACACTCATGACCAAGAAACACACGCATGTGTATTCATTAGATTTTTCAAATCGTCGTGAAAGTCGTTTTGCCATCCACAATAATTAGTACACTTGTTGAGATACCTGTAAAATCAATGTTGAAAACAAACTGTATACCTATCATGGAATTTGAATCCAGAGTTTACCTTTTCAGTTATGAACGCCTCTCTCTCTCCAATAACCAATAAGCCTCTCCTTACCTAAAATAGTTAAGCCCCTAGGGAGTCTATTGGAGATTTAGAGGAATAACGATGCCTAAAAACAAATATTTCCACTGTTTACAGATGTACAGTAATTCGTACGATATGTTTATGCGAGGTGAAGAGATGTTGTCTGGGGCCCAGCGTATTCACGATCCTGATCTTCTGACCGAGCGAGCAAAACATCATGGCCTTGGTATGTACTTGATGATACTAAAGTATGGGGTGGACTAATTCACGGGCGTTCTTTGTCAGTGCCCAGTCCCTTGTCAGTGCCTGAAATTAAAGTTGAATATTTAAAAAATAAACTGATTCCAACTCCAAATCTTTCCCTAACTCTAACCAGTAAATATCTAATAAACAATTTGAAAAGTCGGAAAAAAAGTTGAAGAAAAAGTCAGAAGACAAAAAACAGTCAGCAAAATCGGATCTGGTGCGGACCTCGTTTCACTTCGCACGCAAATGTTTTTAACGAATACCCTAGCGGCAATCTCGCCAATGCAATCGCAAAAAAATTGTATTTTAAAAATTGTACTACTAAATAGGAATGTACAGTAGTTTACTAAACCAAGCACTGAGAAGGAACGCCCGTGAGTTAGTCAAATCCCTGAAGTTTATGTTGAATTTGCATCCATATTCGTAGAACCTTCGTAGCTGCCTATAGATCTTAAAGCCCGTTTTTCACTAAATGGAAAAATAAATTCGCAACGTGATTGGTTAGCGAAATTATTCGCCGCGAAAAACTAGGAAGCGGCCATAAAGCAAGCGCAACAATGTGTTGTGCAACAGCCAACAAGTGCAACAATATGTTGTGCAACAATGTTGGATTTTTTGGGTTTTTCATAACTAATTTACAAGGATGGCAAATACAATTGTTACATATTATGATCTAATTGGTGTTCTTGACTGTTTGTTTGTTTGTTTGTTTGTTTGTTTGTTTGTTATTGCATGCTTGTTTCTGTTGCTGCCGTAGTTTGAATTTTCTACCACAGCAATCATGTCAGAAGAAATCGAAAGAGCAAAACAAGAGCCCTAATTTTGCTTTATTTCTCTTTAGACTTGGATAAAATCAAATCGTACATTGATTCCTTCCGTTATGGCTGTCCTCCCCATGCTGGTGGTGGCATAGGTAATTTTATAAATAACTACATCATATTCACATTTTAATATGCATAATGTAGTTTTATTTTCCCAGAAACCTAACGTAATGGGAAGCTTTGTAGTATCTTAAAATTAACACTTCAAATATATGTCATGTATACTACTATTAATAGTTATTATGCATTTCGTTTTTGTTTCTTAGGTCTTGAACGAGTGGTGATGCTTTACCTCAATTTGGGGAATGTCCGCAAGACTTCCATGTTCCCACGTGACCCAAAACGAATCACACCTTGAACAATGATAAGCACGAGGTTGTTCTCAACTTCTAATATAATATAATCATTTTCTTATTCCTCAATATGTCACTACTATATATGGACCAATCCTTAAGGATTTAAATAACAAAAATATTGCACAATAGGCACTAATAAATTTGATTGTTACAATTTTTGATCCGAACACATGTGATAAAATATTTTGCACTTTATATTCAATTTATATTCTTTGTGTTACTTGTGGTAGTTTAACAGAGAGGTTCAGATTCGACTACCTCTCACTGGCTTAATACGCATTTCATTGGTTAACCAGATATATCAAATTGTTCTGATTGGTTAATGGGCCTTAATGGTAGCGGTAGTGAAAGTCAAATCTGAACCTCTCTAATGTGTGCTATGGAGCTCAACGAACCAATTTGATGATTTTAACGAGGATCACGGACTCCTGGATGAGGCGAGGACCTCGCGAGCCCGTTTGCTCAGACACTTCACGTGCGCATGGTTTTTGCTGAACATTTTTCCTCGCGAGGTTATGAGACAAGATCTACCGTGTTCTGCCTCGTATCCATACACCTCTGTGAAAAACAGCGATGCGCGTGTGACAAGTTAATGACGAAGAATAGTAGATAAAAGGGCCAAGGGAATACTTCATGTGTCCCTAAATTGTATATATCCCTATTATATTTAAAGTGCCTGGGTACGGGCAGTATCGTGTTTGATATCCCAGGCTTTTGGAGAAAGGGTCTTCAAGTCTTATGCAGGCTATGGGGGTGTATTCAATTTTAAGGATTTTATGGATGGAAATTTCGAGAGAGAATTATACACATTTTAGACCTGACCTAAGACCTGCCCTGTCAATGCAATTTTTCGCAACTGCTTCTGGTCACATTAAACTATGTATACAATTTTCGCTTGAAATTTCTATCTGCAAAACCCTTCAACATTCTCACTAAGTCCAACATCGTCCAACAATGTCGGATGAAAATTTTAAACAAAGTCCAACTCAATCCAGCATACTGTTCAAACGAGGCCAACAATGCAACCTCCGTCGCAGGGACTTTCCACCTAAAGACCCTGGGTACGAGGATGCCAACAATGCTGGATGATAATTGGACCAACTCGTTCGAACGTATTTGTATATTTAACGGAACCTCTTCGGGTTTTTATTGTACTATTGACACTTTTCATTGTCGCCCACACTTCGTTTCACGTTGTGTTGCTCACGCAATTTATTTCCATTTATTCTACCACCAGTGACACCTTCCTCATTGCATATTTTTGGTTCGCCTTATGAAATTCATCGTTGGTCTGAATTGATCTTGTACTTCATCGTACATTAAATTTTCCATGAACAGGGGCGCCTTTGAGGGAGAGGGGAGTACAGAACATGATTAAAACTTTTAAAAACCATGCTAACTCATCTACGATTTTCATGAGGGGCGTCACGCTAAGACCTTGCCAAGATGGCGGAAATTGAAAGAGCTATTTGGAAGTCCAGTCCTTTTCTATTGTTTTTGTCTGCGCGGTTAACACGAAGCTGGCTTCACCTTTTGGACTCGAGATTGGACTCCAGATTTATATGGAGCTCATTGGTCACCCCTTATTGATATTGAAATTTTTAAATTCGTGTTTTTATATATATTTTTGTCGCATAATTTAAAAGGAATTTATTTGAGCTTAGCTCCAGTGCGAACACCAATATTGTTTCGTAGCCTATCACATAGACGTTAGCTCAATTGCCAGCCGCAGGCTCATTCTACACGTATGCTAATCACGTCCAAGAGCCGTTCGGCTCGTACACACGTAAAAACGCACAAGTTGTTACAAGTCTGCAAACAAGTTGTTGCAAATCTGTTCACAAGTTGTCTCCACATTGCTTGTTCCCGGTTGTTGTAACAAGTTTGAAACAAGCTGTTAACGACTTGTAACAAGCTTGATGGCATTATCAAACTTGTTACAAGGTTGCTCTAACAAGTCGATACAATCATGATATAACAAG